TCACTTACTATTTACATTTTTAAGAGTAAACACAAAATTAAGGATTATCGATTATAAGTATAAAAGTTTTATATAACATAATTTAATATATTGAGTCTTGAAATGCATGACAATTTAAATAATATAAAAGTGATGTCTACACTTTTAAACTTCCATAGAGTCGGTGGGATAAAGTTTATAACATGGTTCTATAAATTCGAGAGTGTCTGCAGAGCGAAATATGAACGTGGTAGTTGAGTAGGTGACATGCTGGTCGTATTGAAGTGAGTAAAATCCAATTTTTTTTGTGGAGTAGTGTCCAGGTAATCATAATTAACAATATGGGCCTAATCCGCATCCTGGGTAGCATGGAGAAATAGGAGAACATGGTAAAGGAGTTATTGGAACTGGTATTAAATTCTGTGGTAGGAAGCATGGTGGTGGGCATGGTGGTGGGCATGGTGGTGGGCATGGTGGTGGGCACGGTGGTAAGCAAGGGAGTGGACAAGGTGGTGGGCAAGGTGGTGGGCATGGTAGGAAGCATGGTGGAGGGCATGGTGGAGGGCATGGTGGTGGGCATGGTGGAGGGCATGGTGGCAAGCAAGGAAGTGGGCATGGTGGTGGGCACGGTGGTAAGCAAGGGAGTGGACAAGGTGGTGGACATGGTGGTGGGCATGGTAGGAAGCATGGTGGAGGGCATGGTGGAGGGCATGGTGGAGGGAATGGTAGGAAGCATGGTGGAGGGCATGGTGGAGGGCATGGTGGAGGGCATGGTGGCAAGCAAGGAAGTGGGCATGGTGGTGGGCACGGTGGTAAGCAAGGGAGTGGACAAGGTGGTGGACACGGTGGTGGGCATGGTAGGAAGCATGGTGGAGGGCATGGTGGAGGGCATGGTGAAGGGCATGGTGTGGGCACGGTGGTAAGCAAGGGAGTGGACAAGGTGGTGGACACGGTGGTAAGCAGGGAGTGGACAGGTGTGGACACGGTGGAGGGCATGGTGGTAAGCATGGTGGTGGGCATGGTGGTGGATATGGTAGGAAGCATGGTGGAAGGCATGGTGGAGGGCATGGTGGAGGGCATGGTGGAGGGCATGGTGGTAAGCAAGGGAGTGGGCAAGGGGGTGGGCATGGTGGTGGGCATGGTGGAGGTGGTGGTAGGAAATAAGGGTTTAGTTGACAAGGAGGAGGGTATGGATAATTTCCACATGGAACCGCTTTAGCCTTTGTAATAAAAAAAAATATATTGTTAGATATTTAGTTCAATTCAATTTCAAAATAAAATTCTTACCTTGGTAAGACAAGCCAACGCCAAAATCAAAACAACTCTTGAGGTGATCATTTTTTTTTTTTTTTTAACAAATTAATGTTACGAAGAGTTGATGAATGTAAGATGATGAAGTTACATGAATGTAACCAATGATGATCAGATATTGATGTCATAGAGCTTTTATATATGAAAAACAGAAAAGCATTGTTTTATATTCGTTCACGTTCTTCAAAACTGATTAGGAATATAACCACAATAAATAATCATTGATAACTTATCGTCCTTCCTTTTGAGATAATATCAATAAGTTGATAGTTGCAGTTGTCAAATAAAAATAAAACACGTCAATAGTTAGTAGTTAATAGATATATATATATTAATTTATGGTTAAAATGGAAATTCAATGAAATATTTTAATAAATTAAAATACAATATGCATTAAATAAATTGTAAAACTCAGTACATCTAACTGTATAAGAATCTACATTCCTTGCCCTTCTCAAAATATAAACAAGTACAATCAAGACTATAATATAGTATTGCGAATTCAATATTACAATTATTAATTTGAATTTGAAAATAATATTACATACATTTTTTGTTTTTTGGTAGTTTTGTATTAAGGCTATATTTCTGTATAGCCTATTATAATATACCGGTGGTACCTACCTACATACTCTATAGCATATAGGTTATAATACAATTCATGCTTATATTGTATTTTGTTTTTTAATAATTCAAATATATAAATATTTAATATATATTATATACAGGATGATCTTTTAAGCATACTCACCCCCGTTTTTCCCTTTGATATAATATTTATTCAAATTATGATTATTGGAATTTTTAAATATACTTAGATAATAATATTTTAAAATTCCTTATGTTTTTTTTACTTGTTAAGAAGTGTCTTGTGTCGATACAAACTTCTATTTTTAAAATGAGAACCCCCTATTTTATATTCCCAAATTATTTAGCGGATAATTTTCTTGAAAATGTTTATGTATCTATTGAAAAAAACTGTTATGATAATTTCTTCGATAATTTCATCAATTTTAATGATGTTATGTATTTTAGTGTTTTCCAAGAATAATTTACAGAAAACAAATAGTTCTGAATTTGAAAAAATTAAATACATTATAGGATTACACGTAATATTGTATGTATATTATGCCATAATATAAATTTGAATTTTTTTAAATACTAGCAATGTAATATTATTCTCTTCTACTAAGATTTAAATAATATTTGATATAATATAATATAAATTAAATTATTAAACTATTAAAAATGTCATTGGTTGTGAGTACTGATAAACTTATACAAAAATAGAAAATAGAAATGTAGTATAAATAACTGCAGCTTTGTTTTTTTAAATGATAATTAATCACATATCCATAATATAATACAACGTTGGTAATGACATGTACACTACCAGTTACGGATTTATCAGACACTGATATTATACATATATAATTAATTAATTAACTTTATAAAAATAAAAATAATACATTCAAATTAAATAGTATTATTTTTTAGGACCCCCCCCTCCCCCCAGACAATTATACATACTAATTTAATAGAATTTCCTACAAATAAGAAATCTAAAAACTTTTAAATCTTTTCTTCTTGTGTCGGTTAATTGAATTAAAATAGTTTCTTTTCTAAATTAAAACTCGATTCCAAGTACACATATTACAATATTACAATATTATTATTAACTCTAATTCCTATTTATGGAATAATTTAATCCAACATGACAACAATTTTAGAGGGAAATTGAATAAAGGAGAAATTTGGGCAAGTGGGTGTCACTGACTCACTGTAATGGATGGTGTGGACATTTGAATTCAATGATATAATATCATTGCATAAGAAAAACGAATCTGAGCGAAGACGGTCAGACGGCCTATGATTATATTACTAAGTATATTTGATGGTATTATTGTAATTCATATATAACCTATTTACGTGGAACCTTGTTTTAAGTTTTTCTATCCTTAGCTATAAAAGTTGAATATTTTTAAAATGTTTAACTACAAAATAATTATTACATTTTAAGTTTGATAAATCTTGTTAAAAATCCTACATTAAATGTTTATAAAAAAAAAAATTGAGCAGATATATTTTTAATATTTTTCAACTTCAAAGTAACAATATATCACGAGCCTTATTGTATTAAATTTTGAAGCTTTTTCACCCAACAAATACAATTTTATTGACATTTATAGAAAAAAAAAAACTTAAAAAATAAAAAAAAAATGGCCGTAAACGGCTTACAACGAGTCAAAATATTTTCAAAATGTTATCAAGTATAGGAATTGATAAAATAAACATATGATATAAATTTCAAGTGTCTACAGTGTTTCGTTTTACAACAAAATAAGAAAATCGCTACCTACATAAGAAATCGAGTGAACATCCAATCTTGTAAGTTGTAAAAATATGAACTTCAAACGGTCATTAAAATGTAATTTGACTTTCTGGTAGACATTTTTTTTTTTTGACAATGGTGGAAAAACTTATGAGGAATTTTGCATTAAATTTTCAAAACTTAGATTTAAAAATAAAATTTTTATGAATTTTTAACTTAAAATGCATATATAAAAAAAAATTGTGATTATGAATTTTTAATATTTTTTAAATGTCATTGTAACAATATATTAGAAGCTTTTATTAAATGTTGAAGCTTTTTCACCCAACAAATAAAATTTTATTGACATTTATAGAAAAATAACTAAAAAAATGCAAACTGTAAATGTCCGTAAACAGTTCAAAACAAATCAAAATATTTTGAACATTTTATCTAATGCTAATATTAACAATTAGTGAAAATGTCATGTATCTACTGTAATTTTTTTAGAGTTACACCAATTAAGCGTAAAAATGTCCTGCATTTCCTTAATTTTATTTTTTGTTTTTCTCAGCGCCTTTGAACAATAATGGGATTATAGGATTTTCCCTAAGTCACCAACTATACCTATTCACTTTCCCATAGACCAAGATACTGAAGTTGAAAATCGAAGCATTATTTTGACTACTTATCGTGTAAACAGACACAAAAAAAATGATCAAAAATAAAAAAACACACATCATTGTAAAACCAATACATTCATCCCACCGCTCAGAATCTAAAACAATTTTTTTGTTTAAATTTCAATACTTTTACTTTTTATTGACAGATTATAAAGCGAAAATAAGCGTATTCAAAGTGAATCAATACTAAGGAGGAATTATATTCATATCATATTGTATACTATTGATTCAGTACCTATTTAGAAAAATCATAATGCATTATGTTTCATGTCAAGTACTGTGTGTCCGTCGTATATATTTAACACAAAATATTTAAATCACGAGTAAGCAAAACAATAATTAGTTGTAGGTATTTACAACATAACGACTTATTAAAAATATTATTAATAATTTACTTTCTCAAAACAAATGCATACAAACAATGACCTCTATTCTAAATTATCATTGAAATAAACTATCTAAATGTAATACATATAGATATTACATCTATATCAGTTGATAAGCACAAATATGCCACGAAGATTTTTTTATAAAAAAAACGTTTGATTGATCGCATATCCGTTATCAATTTAAAGGAACGTGGACGTATGTAAAACAAAATACAAATCGTTTGGAGTATAAAAGTCGAACTGTTCTGTGGCATCACAGACAACATTCAACAATTCCAATCCTCACGTTCGTACCGTGAATTAAAAAAAATAAAATTAAAAAAAAAAATGAATAATTTTGGAATCATTGCCATCTTGGCGTTGGCTTGCTTAGCCAAGGTAAGAAATTATTTTTATTTGAAATAATATTATTACACTGTATTGAACGGGCCAACTAAATTTTCGTTTATTTTGATAATTAGGTCAACGCCAATCCATGTGGTGGATGTCCAGCCCCATGCCTTCCACTCCCATGTCTTCCAGCCCCATGTCCTCCAGCTCCATGCTGTCCAGCTCCATGTCCTCCAGCTCCATGCTGTCCAGCTCCATGCTGTCCAGCCCCACCGTGCCCACCTTGCATTCCATCTCCACCTATTAGTCCAGCTGCACTAGCATCTTTATTGGCTACTCTTAAAGCTGCGGCACCTTACTCACCCCTTACCCCACTCCCTGTCGCTCCACCTTGTAAACCAGCTTGTGGACCCGCTCCAACCGTAGCTACAACCCTGTCGGTACCCGCACCGGCACCTCAGGTCATTGCTCCAGGACCAGCACCAGGACCATTGATAGTCCAATTGCCGTCAGTAGCCGGAAAGTGCGCACCGATCGTCGTTCCTGCCGGTCCAGCCCCTAATCTCCTCGTCAAGCTGAACCAATGTCCAGCACCCGCCCCAATCATACTTCCAGGTGCGGCACCCGGACCTATCGTCATCAACGACGGAAATGTAGTTAAGGAACAGTCTATCACGTGCGCACCAGCTCCACAGTCGAACAAAATATTCTTCGCATTGCCTGCCCCATTACCGACTCCACCGGTTGTTTTGCCACCAGCGCCATTACCTAAAGTATTCTTCAACCCCGGTCTGTACGTTCAAAAACCTGATATCGTATACCAAACCCCAGTTGGTCTACCGCAATTGTTTTTGATTCCGCCACCATGCGGATGTCCAGCACCGTGTTACCCACCACCCGGTCCATGCAACCTGCCACCAGTCCTCGCCAAGGTCCCGGCTTGCTGTTGTTAGATGATTCTGTCATCATAACATTTTTAATGTACAATACATTGAAAGCAAATACAAAACATTATTGAAATATTATTGAAAAATTTTGAATACAAAAATTATCTTGTTTTAAATGAATATATTTGGGAATTTAATAAATGCAATGGCTTAAATTGAAATGAATAGCATATTTTTTTCAATTCCTACCAATTATTATTACCTATGAATTTTAGTGCCTATTAACACTCGAATTAAATAATCAAATTTTATTTTGTTATGAGTTCAAGAGTTTATGACCAAATTATCTTTTAAATGAAACATTTAAAAAAATATCTAATCGATGACCAAACTATAATAAAGTATATAGGTACTCAAAATTTAAGTCCACCTGTTTCTTTTGATATTTTGTTGTCACTCGGGCTGCATTAAACGAAATATTATGATGGTCGAAGTGGTTAAATATTTACCACTCGCTAAACCTCGTAAATTACAGTCTGAAAGTAGTTGAATCATCACAACACAATTTTCTGGTCACTAACCTCGATCATTGTTGGTCGGTAAGGTAATAAGCTTAACAGAACATATTAATTATCAACACTATTATTATATTATTAATATGTTAAGGACAGCGTGGTAGCATATAATTTCAACCAGTCCTGATTTGACTGATTTGACACGAGTCAACTTCAATTTTCGTTTTTTAATCAATCACTATTAAAAACATTTTTGTTTTTTTATTTTCCACGTCTTCGAAAGTTTGAATATAATAATCTGTGTATAATAAGTAATAACTTTAGTACTATTGTGGGGGGGGGGCAAAGGGGCCATTGTTCTCTCGGGAATTTTCAAATGGATGTACTGAATTTATTGTACCTACCTACTTGAATATCAATATCACTATTTACTAGATATACATAGTCCTGACAGATGAAATAACTTTTGTTCTAACAATACCTAATTATAATTTTTTTATATAATATAATATTATTATAGTTACTTGCAATGCACGTAAAATATAAAAAAAGTTATTCTTATTTTTTGACACTTAAAATAAAAAATTTAAAATTTAATTAAAATTTTTTTGGAAAAATTCAAAATAGCCTATTTGTAAAAATGATTTTTAGAACTATTTTAATGATAAAAACATTTATCAAAGTTAAGTAGTTTATTTTTTAGAATTATTTTTAATATCAATATTTTTTTTGGCAATTCATTTAGAACTTAATAACTTTTTTCAACATACTTCTGTTTGGAAATTTCTTGACACGAGTATATTTCTTAAATTATTTACTAACCAATAACCATATAGTTTTCACAATTTTTGTCAAAAGTTTATGTATAGCATTATTTTTTTTCAGGTCTTCCTGTTACTAGCAGTAATTTTGCCTGAGGGTGCGCTTACTTACTATTTGGATATAAATACACATTTTGTAAATTAATATATTCTGGTCTAGTGAATTAATTACTAAGTTTGTCTGTTATTGAACGTCTGTATAATATAGTATTACAAAATCTATTTGTTTTTTTTTTTTTTTTTTTTAATACTGTTCTAAAAACATTGCTGTTGCAGTTCAAATTTATATCAGTAAGTACGAAGTTAAAAAAGAGTATTTTCAGATAAAAATAATCTTAGATCATATTTATTTTTATTATATATAGTATATAAACGCCGAACGGCTATTAAAAAAAAAAAAAAAAACGGCTGAGATAATATTATAATAAACTTATTACAGAAATAATGAAACAATGATAAATGGGTATAACAGTTATGTCAATAAAATGTAAGTAAATGTAAAATACTAAGTAGACGGGCGCAGCTAACGTGAGTTCCGTAATAAACGGTGAACGGTAGGTAGGTAGGTCTATTATAATGAAATATTATTACACAATTTACAGTACCTACCTAAGTACCCACTCTGATTTAAATTAATATATTTGTAAATTTATAAATGCAAATCCGTAAATGGAATTAAAAATATATTATTTTCAATAACTAATATATGCATTTAAGTAGATACTCAAATAAAATGTAGGTACTTGCTGTACGACATTACTCAATTTAAATGCAATTTAATATTTTTTTAACATCGTTCTGAAAAAATTGCTGTTACAGACAACTCATACTATTGGTGTAGGTAGTTCAAAATAAAAATGATCTTTATTGATAAAATAAAACAATATTATAAAATAATATTATATTATATTTTCGAAAATAAGTTGTGTTTCAATTAGTTTTTACACGTCTACGGAAGTACACAATTAATACATTGTACAATAACTATTATTATTGTATTTAGATATTAGTATACATTTTGCAAATAAATATACATCTAATGTACAATACTATACAATTTATTTTTATTTAATATCGTTCTGGACGCATTGACGCATTGTTGTTACACTTCTCTTGTATTTGTTTTATATTCCATAAATTGAAAGTTTAAATTTGCCGTTGATTTTTCTCCAGAAATAAGATGCGTTGTTTTGTACATACCCGACAATTAAATAAATGACAATTTGGAAGTTTTGAAATGAAAATCACTTTTAAAAATTACAAACGTTAACTCTACACTTAAATCCATTATCGCGGCTAGTTAATTATCCTCCTCTCGTATTTGATTTACCATCCACAGATTAAAAGTTTAGACTTTTCGTTAATCACTCGTCAAGAGAGAAGGGTTACTTCGCCAATAGCCTGTAGTACAGTGAACAAAATAAATTAAGTACGATAATATTGCAAATAAAACGTTATTTAATCATAAATAAATAAATTAATTTTGTATTTCTTCTCATTATAATAATTCCTGTTTTATTTGCAACGATTTACTATTATCTGTTAATTTATTATTGTCCACTGTGGAGATTATCGACGAAACAACAATTCTACCTCGACGATTGATTACCGAACAATGTTTACTTTTAAACCGTGGAAGATATTGTACGTATTGTATCGTTTTATCTTCCACAGTTTAAAAGTAAACATTGTTCGGTAATCAATCGTCGAGGTAGAATTATTGTTGTTTCGTCGATAATCTCCACAGTGGACAATAATAAATTAACAGATAATAGTAAGTCATTGCAAATATAACAGGAATTATTATAATGAGAAGAAATAAAAATGAATTTATTTATTTATGATTAAATAACGTTTTATTTGCAATATTATCGTACCTAATTTATTTTGTTCACCGTGCTACAGGCTATTGGCGAAGCAACACTTCTCTCTTGACGAGTGATTAACGAAAAGTCTAAACTTTTAATCTGTGGAAGGTAAAACAATACGAGAGAACGATAATTAACTAGCCGGGTTATCGGATTTCCGTGTAGAGTTAATGTTCGTAGTTTTAAAAGTGATTTTAGTTTTGTAACGTCCAAAATGTCATTTATATGATTTCCGTGCATGTACAGTATCCTCAAATTTTTAAAGTGAAGCAATTCCTGAAAAATAAATTTAATAATAGTTTCAATAAAAACTGGAGTCGTATAATAAATTATGTATACACTTATATATTATAATATTCTCTAATCATTAATAAATCGACATTGATGATGCATAAATAAATTGAATAAGCATTTCAGTAGATTAACCTATCGTGCAGGCTAAGTAGGACGATGAAGCTATCTGTTCCATAAAAAATTTGTTTTAACAGATTTTTGTTCCTTCTACCTAGGTGGTAGAACCACACGCTAAGGCAAAGAAATTGTACATTTTTACAGATGTCTGTATTTTTACTATAATTGTGATATGAATAATAATTATCCGTATACAATATTATGTTGAAATATTAAACTGAGATAACAAAAAAATGTACAACCTAAAATTGTATAGAGTTGGACGTTTTCCAAAATCAGTGCATTAAAATACATGAATGACTATAATAATGATAAAACAAAACAGAACTTAATTTCCTTTTATAAAAACATAGATAAAAAAAAAAAAAAAAAAAATCATAAGACGTTACACTCTCGAATGCAGAATAATTAACTGAATCCAATACGTATGGTTTATTTTGTTTTAATCTCATTATTAATGGCTGAAACAAAGTGGGTTTAAAAAAAGAAAAAAAAAACACACGCATCATTGAAAAATCATTACATTCGTCACTCCTCTCAGAATCTAAAAGTGGTTTTAAAAACAACAAGCACAGATAAAATATAGGTCCTAGCTGTTCGTTTTTAATCAAGACAACAGGATGCCAATAATTTGACCTGTGACAGCCAACAGGGCTGAAAGCTTATTATAATGCCGCACTCAATTCTAGATATGTGTACGACCCTTATAATAATATATTGTGTTGTGTAAGGTAATTTTTGTTCGATATTTAAAACGGATCCGTTCACAATGTGTACATTAAATAGTTATATATTGGTAAGTAGTATATAATATTATTAGTATTGTTCCTGCACAGCACGTTTTTACAGTGAAATTTTAAAAGTTCAAGCCGGAATGTTCTGCTCGCAGTGGCGTAGCCAGGGGGGGTTTGGGTGTTTAAACTTTTATACCAAAACTGTAAGAAACTTGGTTTTATTGAAGCTTACCCAGCCACCCCTCCCATTTCCATTTCTTAACAATGGCTACGCGACAGTCCCCTCAAACACACATTTTTACCGTGTAAAACAGGAACGTAGTATTATTTTCAAAAGTGAAATGTTTGTTTACAGATGGATAAGTGATTGCACGCAGTCTTTGTATAGTTAATTTGTCACTCACACAATAATATTTACTGTGTAGGTACATATTATTATTATTATCACTCGTCATGTTGTGAAAATGTTTGAAAAACGTCTAGTGTAAACTATTGATTTTTATTGAAATATTTTCATAAACCCGAAATATTTATTACTAGTAATAAAAAATCACAAATCGTTTAACCCTAGATTACTAACCTTATTTATTTGCCTTTATTTCTAACCATTCGTCAATATGACGAATACTATAAATATTATGAACATTTAACCATTTTTAATTGTTTTTTTTCAATGAATCAAAAATATAATTTATAAAAACACAATAATTAAACTTT